CTGACACGAATAACACCTTCAACTTGGATTATCAGTCTAGCTTCTTCATCCAGCGAAAACAAATCTGGACATCAAGATACCCTCTGGACTGACAGGCGCTGAAGCGTGATGGGGAGCGACAATAGTTTATTGCGTACAATTTGATCGGAAAGGTATCAATGGGGAACTACACCCATTTGCAAACAAAGTTGGTTTTGCGAGAGACTCACCCGGAACTCAGCTGAATGTCCCGCTTGTGTGCTACACCATGGGGTTATGAAAGGCAAGTTGGAAGGCATCAGACGACCATGGTTACTTTACTGGGTCAAAGGTCAAGGGAGTGGGCAGCAATTCGGTTGGGTACGCGAGGAATAGCATCATTATATGTATAGTGTGAATGCATTGAACCGGGCGTAGAAATGATGGGTAATAGAAGCTGATGTACACAATGTGAACATTATCACAGGGTAAGGTAAAACGGAAACGTCATGGGTAGCCATATGTACACTGTAGGATACTACTTCAGTGCGATATACGAACTTGTGTCTGGCACCTACAATAGAGGCAGATGCGACTGAAAATAGTATCATGAACTAAAAGCACGTCATCTTGGAAAGTATACTTCGACAGCCAATCCCCTACTGCTATTTGTAAGCAGAACAACATAGATTATGCATTCCTGGTGTCATTGTGAACAATCACTGAAGGTTTAGCCCAGATGGAGCTCATTTACTTTGCCCGACAATTTTCGGTCAACAAATATCTCTCATGTGTTTGGTAATACCATCGAAAACGTACAATGACCAATTCTCGTATGTTCTGAACACTTTCCATCTCAAAAAAGAATCTGAACTCAGGCAACGATAATGTTTTGCAAGATTGGAGCCTATATTCAACAGACACATTCTCACTAGCATCACATTATCTGGAATGCGATAGAAGATCAAATTTACTTTACCTGCCCATCTTTTTCGATTTGAGTGTTTGTTCAAGCGCCCGCTATGATTATATTTCGTGTAGTTAAAGGAGTAAGCAGTTTTGTAGTTGCTGTGTGATATTGAGCAATCCAATTCAGTGAATGTCAGCGACACTTAATTAGCATTTCATCCTCTATCAATGAAGACAAATGGAGATGTTACTAGTGGCGTTATGTGATACTGCAACGCCGTGAAATTTTTGGCTGAGGGGTGGTCGAAATCAAACACATGCGATAATATCCAGATGTAAATCGGACCTGAATAACTTACCAACCACCGGGTATGCAACAGTAAATTCTAGATGCAGACGCTAAATATCACGGGAGTAAGGGTGGTGGCTCAAAGGAACGTCACCAAATGAGGGAGAATTTAGTAACAATGAAGGTATAAACTTGACAGAAAAACGTACACTGGGCTGATGATAAATTTAATTTCAATCACACGGTAGCAGAACAATACTCACTGTTTCTCAGATCCTGAACCAATACCAGTTTGCCGGTTTTGGCATAGTTTAACAGCATAGATATCTATGGGATATGGTCATTCTCATGTTGGTAGTCGGATGAACAATAGGTGATAGGTTATCGAGTGCGGTTTGGCTTTTTTGGATCAATGCGTTTGGCAGTCTCCTGCCGAATGTAATGTTCCAGAGAATGTTCACAAAAACCCCGGTTTGTTCTGCAGCTGTACGTCACCAGGTAGACAAATGGTACAGTAACGTGTTCAGATTTCTGAGTGGGCTTCCCTAGACTTCGAGAACAAGCATTCCTTCTGATGGCTAGGGGACGTATGGTACATTCATAGGATAGGAGTGAGAATTGGTATAGAATATTCCACTCATTGTACTGGTTCATGAGTTTCTTAGACTATGGGATTGTCGGTATATCCGGCGGACAGTAATTTTGCCCCTCAAGATCAATTCTGTGGTCTTATAGGCCCTACACACCCTGTAGTGTAGCCTACGAAGTTAATCTATTTCCAAGAACAAACAAGTAAAAGTAAAGGTATCTGCTTATTTCTGCCTCAGTTCGTTTTGCATTAGTCGTCGATAATTTAGCCCCGTTGTCAAAATACCTAGAACTACGAGGTAGTCTCTTACCCAACGGAATTCAGAAGTTTGAATTCTTACTATTGAAAATTCCCAACGGTTTTTTAAGCACCGAACTAATAATAATAAAGTCCATCCAGCGTTGCACCAAAAATCCGTTTGTAAACAATCCCGTTGCCATGCTGTCAATAATGACGATGATGATGATGATGTTAAAGCAACCCTCAGTAAGCAGGTTGACGAGAGAACATCTGTCAAGTATAACTTTTAACGTGTACCTTAATGAACAGAGCAAACTCTTCTTTCTGCAGGTGATCTACCACAAAGCAGAACATGAGAGTTTGCCCCCCTCAAATTCCTGTCCTCCAGACGTAGAAACGTTTGTCCTAGGTTCTTTGAAATTTATCACTAGTATGAACACAGTTCTTCTGGAAATAATACTGCTCTCAAAGGCATTGTCAGTGTTCATGTTCTTATGTGTTTTTGGCCGCCTATCAAAATCAGCCCATAGTTAAAAAATACCGTAGGTTTAAATGAATCAGCTGCATCCAGTCGGTACGAAAATAATGTTTTCAGATATTTCAACTTTGGTGTCGTTAGGAAATAACATGATGAAAGTGATTTAATTGCAAACCAGAAAATCGAGTAACTGTCCTGAACAAATTCTCCGGAAGCTGCTGTAAGTTTTAGTTTCTCTTGCTGCGCCCCGGATAATCTGTCAGATGGGTTCAGCGAGAGCATGTGTTCCGAGTAGACCAATCTTAGGCGGCCTCATTGTTTTATGTAGCTCAAACACTTAGGGTGGCCATCTGGTACTGAATCGCAGTAAAATTCATAAAATATCCTTATTATCGATGTGGGAAAGAAGCCTGAGCGTATTTCAATTTGGTGATAAGCAGATTTGGGAGGGCGAGCTAAGTGATGCTATGTAAATATCATTTAGGTCTAGGGGTCACGATCCTATTGTAATGATAACGGTAATGCAATTTTCGGCCACCGTTGTCGTTCTCTGAGGATACAATCTCAGGGTTGGATCACTTCAGGGTCATCTCATGGGTCAACCAAACTTGCTAGTGGCGACGCACAGTCTCAGAAGCATTCCTCGTGAACAACTATAAGCCAAATGCCTCGGACACTTCCCAACAGACAGAATACTGGACTGAATTATTCATTTTATTGCTTCATAACATTTGCTTTGTGTGGTGACGAAGAGGGCGCTGAACATCTTTATGCTTCAATGTGAGTTTCAAATCAACAAAATTATTGGATCCATTGGGTCATAATTTCCTTAAATTATACCTTCTGGATGGCAAGCGCGTATAGCGTTTTCCAAAAGAGCGTTACCACAGTATATCCTGAGGTTGCAGCCCTCCCTATAACGGCCTCCTCTCTGACGATGTTGAACGGGCTTAGCAGCGTCAAAACTGCATTCTGCTACTGGTCCTTATTTGTCATAAATGTGTGACTAATAATATCATTGTTAACTCTTCAGCGCTTGTTACTAACGAGCACCAAAATCTACAGTTACGTTCTGTCATTCGCCACCAAGTATGGCACACAACCTTTAAACAGGGGTCATATTACCCCTGATAAACATGTTTGGCTCTTTGTGGCGCATATGAAGGTCGAGTTATCTACATGAAAAGATCATATCTCGAGCGAGATAATCTTAGATTTTCTTTTCAGGGTGAATATTTCCGAATAAATGGAGCTGTTTGACTCTTGACACGAAACCCAGTTCCAGGATCACCTGCGTGCATATCTTTTCCACATATTTTAGAAAGTATGCGCTGCACAACGTGGAATCACTGGGTGTGCCGAAAATGTGATCAATTGAATGCAGAACAGATAGCGATTGGAGGATCGAAAGTCACTACTATTTCAACCTGGTAACGCTGTACTTATCCTGAGGCATTTCTCCCAATTCTGTTTGTTTTGACTCAACTTGTACTCTGCGAGGGAATATTACAAATCACAGCCTTATCACGGCTTCTGAGTATGTCCTCGTTATACTTTGAAATTACGCCACAGTTGTTTTAACAAATTTTCTCCGCTGTTACGGTTGTAGTGGTTGGTCCACAACGAAGCTAGGAAACGATGGGCTCCAACTTTTTCTCATAAGAGTTAGAAATTATTTCATGTTAGGCAAACTTTAATCAAACACTTTTTCCACAGACAGCTAGTCACTGCAGGTGTGCTCCTAAAATGTGCATTGAATTTTTTCTTTGTATCTCAAGGACAACTGAAACTTCAAAGATAGCTTAACGGTTTTTGAAGCAAAAACGCAAAATTGTCAGTCTTAAAACAATTTCACGAAGCACAAACAACTCAACCGCTAAATTGGCATATGCACTGTAACTGATACACAAACACACTGTAATTTCTCCTATTTCGTGACTCCCACGTATCTTAAGAAATAAGTGGCTATCTGCTAAAACCAGTGGATCACCGGACAGTTGGTGTGAATCCTGAGCCAGTATATTTTGCACCGTTATCCTACGTTTCCGCATGGCATGATCTGAACCACATACTTTCTGATCGGATTGTACTTTCCTTCTTGCTGGATCAGAGCCTTAGTTGCAAGTCGCATCGAAAAAGCTGGATAAGCAAACACTTTCCCTTCTACTTGGCTGGCCAGGGGGTCGAAATATAATCAGGATGTCAGCGGTTTCTTCTGACAGTTGCTGATTTGAAGGAGTGCCCGTTTGCACCATCCTTTAATGCGGGATCGTAAAAGTCTTTCAAGTTATTACATGCTAATGGATAAGTTGGTTACTGTGTGAACGAAGACAACTGACTAATTTTGAGCTTTGAACTTGCATGACCTCACGAAACCTGGTTTTTGTGAATGAATATTCTCGGTTGGAAGGTAGCAGCTGAAGGCTGTATTATGCTTTTCATCCTTCTTGTTTATCAACCATAAACACTCACAAGGCAGAAGAAACTGAATACGTTGGAATCATATATTTCCAAGAAGGGAACCTTGGTGAAGCGCTCTCACGCTAGTTGCATGCACAATTCATTTTGATGGCGCGCTCCAAAGTCTCATGGACGAGTTTGTTTTCTGCGTTTTTGTACACAATTGTGAAGGGGCTTGTTTCGTTTGCAGCACAACAAGGCATTGAGTCATAGATAGCGTTTCGTTCTTCATGGTCAAGGCCGGAAAAGTAGCGATTTAACAAAACACTATGTGAGTTGTCCGTTGGCATGTACAAACCTGAAGTGTAAAATTCGAGGGAACTATATAGAACAAAGTATAGCCATCAGTAAACTTGTGAGAATTGATGCCCTGAAACTTCAAAATATGGACAGATGTCTCAATTCCGGCTTTTGAATGGTCATCTTATACACAATTTTCACCGGTTTCGTGTGACCCCTAGCCTGTTTGTGTGATGAATGATGATGCCATTCTGCACAATACCCCATAAAAATGAACTACTGTGTGTTAGAACAGTAGTGTTGTATTAAGATTTATTTTCATTCGGCTGACGCCATACTCAAGTGTGGTACAGCCGTAAGTCTCCTCGATCAGTACGCACCTGACTTTTAACTGTGAAATAAACATGTGTGAAATAAACATGTGTGAAAATCTTCTGAGAATGACTTGCCTACTTTCATCTAGGTAGCCTAGAAGCAAAACTGACTTCGGTATTTTGAAAAAGGACGACCATTTTCTCTAAAACGCCTGTGGCGGGTCACTGATACTGCATTATGCTGTCGCTTACAAGCTCATTTTTTGGAGTCAGACCTGTTGTTGACGCATTTTTGCCAAAAAATAGCGCTTACAGGGACTATTCAACAGTTACTGAGTGAATAGCTGCTGATTACTCTTTGCAATCAGTGTACTTCATTTTTTGAGACCTGTTGTTGACGCATTTTTGCCAAAAAATAGCGCTTACAGGGACTATTCAACAGTTACTGAGTGAATAGCTGCTGAGCTGACTGAAATTACACCATATTTTTCATGTTTTCGGTGCAGCCTCTTATTTTATTGCTAAGGTACGCTGCACTCTAACTGACGGTCAGCCGTGAAACTGGAACCGAAGAAAACCTGTTTGATTAATGCTGTCCAGAAGGCACCTTTCCAGTATCATGGCGAAAGCTAGCTGCCACTATCTCTTCATGGTTGCGCGTAAAACTGACCGAAAGCTATCGATAATTCGGTTGGTGAGCTCGGTTTTGAGAGTCTTTTCTGCCCTTCCACACCAGACAATACCCCAACATATTGTCTGATCCGGGTTGTGTAGTCTGTCAGTGTCATCCCGAAGACTAAGGAAAATGATTGATCCTTCTTACCCAGCTGCTCCACGGTCATGTCTTTATGGACGGGACGGGACCACGCTATGCATTCCACTTCCTGGGAAACAAACTCCACCGTTTAACTGGAGAGTGACCTGGTGGGCCAATTCAGTTAGATGATGACGAGCACGAACATGTTTTGTCACCTTACCCATGACAAGGTGAAAATTCGCTCTGATTTCATTCGATAAGCTGTCTTCTTTTGTCCCATGTAATGTGTGATCGTAGCATTATATTCCGCAGGAACGTAAGTAAATTTTTATTAGACGTGGTACAATCATAACTGTGGCTTCTCTTCAGGTTTTCGATGAGCAACCTCCGATTCCAAAGTATCGGGTTCGAGAAGAACTATATTCCGGCCACCCGAGCATCACACGTATGAAGGACTTTGTTTATACCCACACGTGCCACCTGGCATTGGCACGGATAGCGAATCAGCGATCAAAATTTGCGAATACTTTGCTACTAATGCAGATGCCGTGATGTGTCCATGGCTAACATTAAGGACCCGCTGGAATAGAACTCATACTGATTTCGCTTGGCTAAAGTATGCATATTCCAAATGACCAAATTTTACCTCTGTGCTTCTAAACTCAGCTCTAAAAAGGATTTTAAAACGCGGCTGGTCCGAATCCACTTAAGGGCAACCAAAGTCAACGAGTTTCACAAAATATTAGCAGGCGATCCCATATACCCCCCGATGTATGAACTTCGGAGTGGTGATCAGGCGAGATTCATCCGAGGATAACTTTAGCTGAAGACCACAAAACATTGTGCTGGAGGGAAAATTTACCTATCTCCCAGACACTCGTCCGTGCACACATGGTCAAACATCGAAATCATCCACGATTTATCAGGTAGCACCAGCTAACCTGTTACTTGGAAAACAAACTAGGATATCTTGAAACCCAAAAAGACTAGATTTAGACTGAATTCACAGATAAAGAGTCCGTTTGCTTTTTGGCCGGCCTACGTACGCCGTGCGTTTTATATAAAAAATAAGAATTTCCAGGTAAATGTCTGCCGTAAAAACTTTGGGTGCCGGTATTTATCAAACAAGATATATGAGGTAAACTCTTCGTTTGAAATAAGCGTACTAATGCCAGGGGCGAAAAGGCTAACAACAATGACTGTGTCAACACTTGGTATTCTTTTAGACGCATCTGGGTTGGAATCGCCAAATTATCAGGCTGCCGAAGAAAAAAACTTTGCAAATTGTCATACTGCTGAACTTCGACGTTCCTGATGAACAAAGGAACCGGGCCGATGACTTGGACAGTACTCGAGAAAATGACTTATGTTGAAAGTTCTGTGATATGCAAAATAACTATTCGCTCTCTGTGATACGAGAGGTTGAATTGATCACGAGCGTTCATTCGTTAGTTATTGGTTAGAAAATGCATTGAATTGTTCTGAGTACGTTTCACTCAGATGAATAGGCCTTGAGCCTTTTTAAACCTTCACCTGGTCGTAATGCAGTAAATATCTTGATATTATATTCCTTCTCACATAGGACAACAAAAGCTGTCAATAACTGTCGGTTGGGCCACAGACGTTTTGATTCGTAGACATTGTCCTCGGAATATTGTCCTATAAATTCGATTGCTGCCATTTCCGTTTAATGATGGAGTATTTCATCTAGAAAGGAACAACTAACTAGACAATGGTTTCCCTCCTCGCTGCAGGAAAGTGTATATTTCTGAAGCTTGCCTTTTACAATCGGAAAACAAAAGTTCCAGCGCTCTTGAGTGTTTACGCGCAAGACACAATGAACTTATGTTGAATATGTGAATTTAGCTGCCATAATGTTTATACTCAAAGACTTCCACCTACTTAAAACCAGTCATCTTCGCGCCTGGTGGTAAAACCCAAATCACAAACAAAAATACCTGCGGTAGAGAGAGATAAGATGCCAATTACTATGTGCTAGCTAGGGAACTAGAGACAGTGTCTTACTTTATTTTATCGCGTGTTTTCGATATATGTATCAATTATGTTGAATGGTCAACGGTACTGTCTTGATAAACTGTTGATCAAACTAAATCAAGAAAAGTTCCTAAGAATTGATGAAGTAAGTTGATAATGTGATGAACACGAAAATATTGGCTACCTTAAGAACACCTTGCTTACGAATCCGGGAATATGGCTGGGGACACTGAAATTGTAAAGCGATCTACAATTTCTCACGATGTTTCTGATATAACACAACTACTATCCATCTGTTCAACCGAAGTATCTGTAATTGCAAATTGTCTAGTTGTGCAGGTCCTCCATCTCTGTGAGAACGAAGGATAAATTGTGCGATTTCAGCTAAATATGTTTGTTGGTTAAACAAAATAGACTAAGTGATGTGTTCGTATTCTTGTGCACAAATATGCAACAACTCTCGGTGACCTTATATCGCAGTCTTGTAAGTCAATGGAATACGGAGTGGGAAAACCTCAAAGCGATGAATCTCAATGATTGGAAAGTACTAGCTCTTAAGTGCACCTAGCGTGTCTTTGTGCCCGAGTTTCTTCTACCAAGATAATGCACTAGGGTTGGCAGATGTATTCAATAGAACGCGTAAATCTATTAGGCTACAAATATGTGCAAATTTTACAGCTCAGTCTGAATAACTCTGGCGTGAACATACTTTGGCAGACGCTACTAGTCCGTGAACCACCACAGAGTGCGGTCGAAAGTAAAACTGTTTTGGACGAAATTGCAGATCGCATTCCTTAGATGGATGAAATCCTAAGCATTTGATGGCCAAAGTCCCATCTTTGAAGTCTTGAGGAAGCTCCAACTTTTATTCAGTAATACTGGAGACTGTTTTTGTCCAATAATGGTCATATCAAATGTAGCTACTGTGAAGTTTCTTATTGGAGCCACAAAAATGTTCTTGATGAACGTTACTGTTCATTTTTTCGAACGCATACAGGGCCATGACAGAATCACATTCCGGCCTTTTCTGACTTTGACACAATAAGCTGAGAATTGGATATTGTGTTCGCGGTGGGTTGTTCGCAGCTCTGTTGTCCCTGTCAGAGCTCTGCTTGGATTGGTCGGACCACGGTGACTGAACGCAATAATGGAGAAATATGGAGAGTCATCCACGTGCGACGTAAAGGTGGAGCTCACAGTCACAGCATCCGCCGACTGACCATCCACCAGCCACTGCACTACTGCATGGATAGGCGCCCACAAATACTTTCACTCGATCATACTGGGACGAAGGACATCGTTAGCCCATCACGAGACACGACGACTGGACCCTATCACCTCAGTTTCCTTGCGTTTACTTGGTTGTAGAAAGTCCTTGACGGAGATAACTCTGGGTGGGCGAGGTGTTGTGGAGGCGCCACAAACTACAGCTGTTTGTTTTGATTCATAGACTTTCAAATTATATTGCACCTGACACAGAAGCTTATCGGTGGCATCCGGTTTGAATCTAATCCAGAATGACTTATTTTACTTTTGTCTTGACAGTTCAGATGGCCTCAGCGCTCTCTGAACGTTTCTTTGTCGCCTTCTGTTGTCAAAAAATAATTGGTAGGTTTAAAAAATTATGAGAGGCGCTTTAAAGCATGTGCTCTTTCAGGGAAACTGACTCGAAAACATCGTATATTCTACGGAACGGTGATCATTGTAGGTGATTGACGGATCAGTCTACTTGGAAAGGTTGCATCAAACTGTAATTTTACTTTGAGTGAGCAATTGTTCAGTTACCTATATTAGACGCTTTCTCCATGTTATCACGCGCAATTTGCAGACTGTATCTAATTACATCCATACAACGACAAACTGGAGGTTTCCTCAACTAATTACTGTAGTCAACCGATTCGTTTGACCCAGAAGCTAAATATATGGTGAAACCAATTTTGAAAAAGGTGACGGACAAAATTACTGTGGGATGTTTAAAAAATAAATTGTTGCATGTACCCTGTCTGCAAGTAGGTTTATGAGCTGATCTGTCAATAATAAAATGTTCGAAAAATAGCTCTATTTTCAAAGGTAGCGGGGACTTCAAGGGGCAAGAGAATGGTTGGTGAAAGGTCCATCAGAGATAGAGAGAGGCAAATAAAACTTAGCGCATAATGGTTTGTGTTAAAATACAAATTAGCGGCATCACGCAGAGCTTGCTCACAAGAACCTGTATAGTGCTTCAGAGGGCAGAGAGGGGAGGAGAAATAGGGCAGCCACATTTGGCTTTTGTGTGGGTATAAAACAAAAGCCGCGGACACTGCAACAGAAAATTATCGTTCAGACAATGTTTCACCTCATCTAATGAGAGGAGCATGATCGGCGGAGCATGGATAAAACACCAGCTATTTTACGTTAAAAGGTTGCATACAAAAGGTTCCGAACCGTCGCTTTAAGGTAGCCATGCCAAAATTTTCAACCTAGTATTTAATATAACGTCGGAAACAATCTAAGTGTTACGTGTTGGATAATCATTCAGTCAACTGGTAATGTATAGGAATTTTTCCGGATTAGACATTTTATCCACGCCCGGTTGAATGCTAGCTAGCTTTAAATATAGTTTGCAATCAAAATCCCCAAAAATGCTGAGCGAGCTGGAAAACGGAAGATTTAATAAACGGGGTATTTAATAGGAATAGATGTTTCACTGAATTCGCTAACGGGGATTATAACTACTCGGAGTGGCGAACAACTAACGTGAGTGATAATCAACAGTGTGGGTGCATAAGTATCTTTGGAATTCAACCTCGGAAAAATAAAACGTGCATGAAACTCAAAGTGTGTGAGTTGGAGGTTTCGACATTCTTGTTAGTTAAGCCTAGTGTATAGTTCAACGCAGAATATCTAGATTTAGGTTTAACCAAGAAACTATCATGATTTGAGTAGTTATTAGCCTCTCTCGAAGGCGCGAGCACCATCGGTCATCGTGGGTTATTGTTTTCACAATGCATTAGCCCAAAGAAACTTGGGTATTTCAAAACTACTTGCATGGCTCCGTGCATTCTCCACTAGGTGGCTTAAGTTGCCGGCCATTTTTTCAATGATGACCTCTTCGGATGGGGGTATCTTTCGAGCTTTTGAGGATGGATTGTGCTCCACGCGTGTCCTGAAGTACTCATGTTCACGACCACATTGTTTCATTAAGTTTGGTATCAGTAGGTCATGTGCATCAATTCTTACGTCAAAAGGAAGACAGTGCTGTACAACTGGAACCTAGGAAAAATTGGTAGGCGTTCTCAAGGATTTATTCCCAATGATACATTGTTTTTGCTTGCCGTCTAACACCTGCATGTTTATCGACATAGGCTAATGCGGCCGGGTTACCAAGGTAACAAATTTTTCATTGTCTTAATGTTAAGATGGTGAAAACTACGCCATCCTAGACTATGGCCGTAGGCGGGTCACGCTGTGATCAATTTTAATGCCAGCGTGCGTGCAGTTGTGGAAAAATAAGCCAAGAGCAATCAGTCCAAAATATCTTTTGAAATGCATCATTAGTGGGACTGTTGGATTTTGAAGGGATGAAATTGAATGTGAAACCATCTGATACGTGGACACACTTATATGAGGAGAGAAATGATATAGAAGATAGTATAGGTCATTGGTAGTATAAGTATAGGTATAGTATTGGTCAGTATAGGTAAAGTATAGGTAAAGTATAAGTCATTGGTTGAATACTACGGAGGAGGTTGAGTAAACACTGAACCAATGTGTTGTTCTTCAGTTGACGCTACTCCACATCAGGCCATCTCATAAGTGAGGCAACCTTACTACGGTAATCTGTGGTTCTCCTTGATATTGTTATCTCGAAGACACTGACACCCTTCGCAGATTACTCCCCCCGTTACCGCCGCACAAAACCATTTGTAACGGTCAGTGAAATACGAATATTCTGCAATGACGTTTCCCAATTCTAGTAATTCCAAAATGCTTTGGGTCGCAAAGGCGGATGTGGACATTATACGATGCCATACAGAGTGGAAAAAATTGAAAAAAACATAAACAAACCCGGAATCACTCCCAGTGAGTAGTTATATTGGACCAATGCACCAAGTAAACACCCAGTGATGGTCCTCGAAACCATAGATTTTTAAGTCAGTCATTTAGGAGAATAAAATGCGCAACCCCGAAGGTATTGACGGATTCCACAAAATTACCCACAGTGAGGTGTGAGAGCAAATACAAATAAATAAATAACAATCACTATGGACTAGTTATTCTATGGAGGGCAGAAAACTATCTCCCTTGTCATTAGGTTGTTCAGAGGGCCTGTAAATAAAATTTAACTAAGCCAGGATGAATTGTGAGTTTACTAAACCGGTAGCTTACTACCGCTCAGGCGAGCATATCTGAACACAAAACAGTAGATGTTCTGTAAAATCAACCTACCAATGCATCGCCCATGACATATATTCAACGGCAGGTGGTGCGGGAAAACAATAAAGCGCAGTTTGTCATTCTGATCCAACTGACGTTTGGTTAGAGTGTATCGAAATAGACAGCACTTGGCTTCTTGGCGATCACGATCTAAAAAGCTTGGACAATTGTTCCCGTTACGTCGATGATAATCTCCTGAAGTTGATCTACCAATTAATCGCCTCCGTCCGTACTTTTTGACGAGATCAACAGTTGAATCAGTGTACAACTCCAGCACTGCTTGACCATCGGGAGAGAGAATGGCCTCTTTGAATTCCGGATGAGAAAACAGGTGCCAAATAGTTGTGTCTGTACGACACTTTTCGTTCACGCAGTGCAGTGTTAATATTATCGGATAGGACTGGCTGCTTTGACGTCGTTGTATGTCGACCATCGCCGCGGTTACATCCCATTTAACTTCACGCTCTGAGAACCAGTTTACGTTGAAGGAATCAAAAATTTTTGTGACATTATCAAGCCGAAAGATATCTTCTTCAAAGTGATGTTGCGTTTCATCCAGAAAATGCACGCTTAGGGCCAAATTGTCCGGTCTGATCCATGGAAGAACAAATGCGGATAGGCGCGCTAAAATGATGGGACTCTCCGGAAATTCAATTGGTTTGCGAATAATTAGGCAAGGATAGGGCTGCTGGTCCCTTGTTAAACTGCATTTTCCTGCAAAATAAAATACCGAAGGGGGACACCGTGAAACCCTTGTAAAAATTTTACTGTTGAATGTGTAGGTGCCCATTATCCGCACAATGCTCTCACCTGCAAAGAATTTACTAGTGGAGTAAAGCTTTCTACGCCAAAATGTTTCATTTTTGCGCGTGCGCTCAAGGCCATAAACCGTCCTGATCTAAGTTCATAATTTTTCAGCTCACCAAATCTCATTGTTCACTGAAGCAACCATTCTTCTGGCTGAGACGTCTTGTGGGATAATTTCCCAGCATCACTGAGACCCCAGGATGCCTAAATAGGGCTTAAAAGTTTGGACTTGTTCTCTCAACTCAATTGTCTGATTACTTTGGCCCATCAGGGACACGTCATAACTTTCGAAAGTTCAACTCCATTGTGCGTATACTGAGCGCCATAAGCGTAGGGAGTTTTTGCGACTGTACGGTCCGGAGTGTGTCGAAGATTTTGTCGGAAAAAAGATCCTGCCTCCGGAACCCATACTAACTAGGCACGACAGGTGGACGCAAAGGCATAATATAGGCCCTTACCCACAAGTGCCCTCAGAAGGCAGCGCCCGTTCAGAAATCCGTTCACCGACGTTGTCGATAGCCAGCTGGTTTAACTAGTACGCAGACACGTGTATCCATATAGGCAGGCACATAGGCACATACATAGGCATACTCATCCAGTCCTGCCCACTCAGACCAAACATGAGACCTAAGGCTATGGTCGAACCAATCACGAGAGACGATGTCTGGTTTTTGTGTATTCGGTTGGCTGTAAAAAACAAAGATAGGGATTGCCCACGGCAGCTGAAACTTTGGGACCATGAATATTCACACTCTATCGCTCAGTCCAACTCTGAAAATTTGCGATTAGATTCCACGTAGCGCCAATATCTGTGTGTAAGATGTGTAACAAATTCTTTCCAAATTTTCCCACCCTGTTTTCGGAGGCGAGAAATAGTTTTCTCAGTTTACTAGAAGATATTTGACGTATATTCTCCTTGTCTTAACACACTTGCAGCCCTCAGATATTTAACTACTACATCCACTGGTCTACGAATGACATATACAACAACCTTTTGGACGTAGTCAGTTATTACGTCCTCAAAATATGGTGGAAAGAGCCTACTATTTAGGCCCTTTATAGTAATCAGTTAGCCCGACCAGGTGAAATAGGCCTGGCCGCCGAAGGATCCTGGGGTACTAGTTAGTTGATCAGTGATTTTGTTCACGATTTGTTACCAGGACACTCGTGTTTGTATGCCACTCATTCATTTATGGTAAGCTCATTCGAGTTAGCCCACACAAAGTGGAGATACCGAAATGGTGTCCAGCTCTTACTAGAGTACACACTCGATCGCGCATGAACTGGAAATCCGAAAACTTGACAAACAATATGACGGCTCCCATTAGCCGCACAATGCACTTAGCTGCAAAACCTTTGTGAGTGAAACAAAACTTTTTACGCCAAAATATAGCACTTTGTTGCGTATGTGCTCAAACTAAAACCCATCCTAATCTACGTTCATACCTTTGCAGCTCACCGAATTTCATTGTCCACTGAAACAATCATAACTCTCGCGGAAAAAATTTTGTGGAACACTTTCCCAGCATCCCTCAAACCCCAGGATGTCTAGATGGGGCTCAAAAGATAGGACTCATACTCTGAACTCAATTGCCTGTCTCTTTTAGTCCAAAAAGGCACGTCATGGCTTTCGGAAATTCATTTCTATGGTGCGAATACTGAGCACCCAATATGACCATTTGGCAATACTCCACGTGGTTGGACTAAACGGAAATGAGTCAGTACACGTCGTTGCTGTCAAGCCAGGACAGGAGAAAATCTGTCCAAGCCTTAGTTTTGTGGGAACACGGTCTTGGTATGTTTGCCACCCGGGTACTTAGGTTGGGCTTTTTTTCTCGATAGTTTTCAGCGTTCTGAAAAGTGTGTATACCTTGCGGCCCTGTCATAAATTTGGGAATGTACTATGATTTGACCATTATAATGGGTCTGTTATCAGTCCACACAATGAAAGAACCAGATGATTAACATAACTAAATGAAACATACTTCGGTCCAGCTATCTGAGGGATTGCAGGTTCCAGCCTGCAATACCTCCGTTCACAGGACAATGGGAAAGCGGAGGAAATATACTCAGGCGTTGGAAGCCATGGCATAAGCTTTTAGTGGGCAGCTAGGAATTAACTGCAGTATCTCCACTAGATAAACACTAGGGGCTGCGTGATTGAAACGTCTGTCGGTGCCAATAACCAATAATGAATCGAGTTCCTTGGTCCCCATCCAGGAAGGCGTCACTTGTCGACACGATAGAGTGTACTGGTTATTGCTAACATACTTCGTCGCCAACTCATATAATATCAACCTGCCAGTCGCTTTCAGTGAGGTCTTGACGAAAACGCTCTGCGAAGGACACCTGCCATGACTGGCGTAACCTACGAAGGGCGAGTAGGTCATCCATGGCATCCAAACATGAGCACTGTTAGTGCAGCGATTTCATAAGCTCAGATACTTTAGAGACACCTATGATCAAGCACCTACAACATCCTATGTACCTAGAAGCCCCTTTTCAGACTCATAGAGCAGTATGGATTGCACCACCGCAGCCTATACTGTGGTGTTAACAGGAAGACTGACATCAATCCGGTGCCATAGGTCATGGGGGTTCACAGAGGCCACCCTGGTTTTGCCGAATCGAGAAATAATCTCGTGCCCAACCAGTCAGCGGTATCGTGCCTTCTGACCGCTTCATATTACGGTTAATCTTGTTGCAATGCTCGCTGCTCCTAATCTGACTGCTACCCTTTGACCTTCCTGGTATGTGTGCATTATTTGAGACGAAGGTCTAGCCAGCGTAGCCCCCAGAACCATTGCAGCATTTAACCCAGTCACAAAAGCGAGTTGGCAAGGTCGCAAAATTTAGTGGTAAAACTCTTCCAGAATGGATAATTCTGATAACAAATTTTCTTCACTTTGACTCTTAAAAGTGGTCTGTAGGGGACGGCGGGCAAAAGAATTAGGTAATTCTTCATATTCACACCGTTCTCGATGGAAAAGTCGTCATTCTGTCCTGATACCCTCCTCAACCTGGTGAGTTCACAGCAAGGGAGGGTAAGCACTGGAATAGAGTTTCGTTCTTACAAGGGCTCATCAACAGTGCACATTCAGTTACCTTATTGGCGTTCGAACTCCAGAGATCTGACATGTGGGGCGAGTGTGTTGGACGCGTCAGATGTGTTCAGGGGCCTAATAAGCGTAAAACTCGAGTCCAGTGTTTCCTACTTTGTTGTGGATCCACCAAAATAGAAGGGCGACTGTTCAAACGAGATTATTTTGAGTATGAGCGATACACATCCCGCAACCTCACCACAATAACTACGTAATTCTAAAAAGGTGGACCATAGAAACAGTCACTTTAGAGAAAGATGTCAGTCAGCTCTTTTGACCACGAAAGCGGCAGGGATTCCGAGAGCATGATACGTGCATATTTTAAGTGCGACCAAGCAATTCCAACGACTCGAGGATTTCAGACACAAGAAACGCCCACATGTAAAGTGACAACTTTCATTATTTGGATGATAGCCACTCTGTAGGACCCACAATCACTCGAGGGACAATATTATATTCAGTTTTCCAACCACCTAACTGACGAAAGACTAATTAAGAGCCCAATAATCCATGGACCACTCTATTTCGCACCACGGCGACATTTATAATTGCGAGGTAGGGAAGTAATGTACTAAGAGGTGTCAACTTCAGAGCGAATCACATGGGGCAGGCTTTTATCCCAAACGGTCGGCCTATCTGGGATCGACCACAGTGAGGTTATTTTAGTAGATATTCCTGGCTAAATGGCAGTCAGTTTCACTTATAAAAATGCCGATTTGAGTTGTCTTGTTCACAACTTAGAGAAAGACATTATTGCTTTGGCTTACACGGCACCATTCACATGCATCTTCACTGGTACTATGACCAAATTAGGGGAGTTCAGTAGAGAGTTCGTCCTGTCAGTGAAGTCAGTTCTTATGGGGTTCATGAGCACAATATATCCTCAGGTAATTTCGTACCCACGAACCATCAGATAGTGGTATATGGACAATTAACCGTTCGGCCACGAGTAGCTGATCGTTAGAGTGATTAATTTGCATCTTAACGGAACACAGCATCGCTATCCCTTCACTCACAGGCTCCACATCACTCGTTCAAAAGTGTTGACTGGTTCCTAAAGTGAAGATCTGCAAGTAGTTCAGGGGGAAAATAACATTTCCCCCAGATGGTAAAACGTCCATCTGAATAGTCGTTCTGTCGAAGTACAAGTTAATCACAACTCTGGTCAACTACGCGAGGTCAGATGGTTAAGTATTCAGACAACCAACAGGGTGGTCACGGGCTTGATACTTCCTGGATTTTCGTGAGGTGTCCACTGCTGATCATTGCCAAAAAGGATAAATCAGCCTTTTGGAAATGCATCCGAGATTCGATTCATTGACAGGATGTAATCTCTATTAAAATGCAAATTCGCCTGCTTCAGTGGAACTGTGCAACATAAGTCTTAGTTGTGTTCAAACAGACCAGGAAGCTCTTGGTTTCCATATTTTCAAAATGTTCGTGCTGTTGCCTGGATGCACTCAAATTTGAATAAGCCTTACTAAGCACCTCATTGTTCTCCCGGAAGTTTGTGTTAACTGGCGGGATTTCGTAATCTCCTTATGTCTGCTCAGTATGTTTCAAACTAGATGACAGCAGCTAACCCAAGTGCAAGGGCACTTTATTCGCTGTGCCTAATAAGGATCGTCTTGTTGCTGTATTTGGTTATCGGAACATAGGTGCGAATGCGTCGTCAGATTCTCTCTTCAAAGGATGTCAGGCTCTTGCAAACAACTTTTCCACTCACATGCTGCATTCTCAGACAATTGGGACAAATGTTCGTCTCACAATAGTTACCAGAGAGCTCCATATACATACCTGGGGATT